TTCACTGCTAACGAAACTTTCGTTTTCGCTTGAAGAAATAAATTCTAAGCGTCCGTGAAAGTCGAGCGTATGAATGATAAAATATGCTTTTTTTAAAGAAATTTAAAAATACATATTACTCACTTCAGTAACTTTGAGGATTTGGTTAAATAAAATAAAAAGGATAGGTGATAATTCTGGAGCATTTATTTGTTTTTTTTTTTAACTAATAGATTTCATGAGGAATAAAAAAAAAATTTAGGATGTGAATTTCCCTTTAAATATTTTCCTTATTATATTCTTTTTTAAAAAAGAAATCTACTAACTACACTCAGCATTATGAAATTTTCATTGATGCTCACTGCTCGCGTACGCACGGCCTTGCGTGTTGTAATTTAACCCAGTTACGTTTTGATACACTTTGTTAAAATTCGCAAAGTAAGCTTTAAATTCTTTATTATTTTCTTTTTAATAATTTTTCATAAAAACTCTTAGATTTTTTTTATTTGCAATTGGTCTAATAAAAATTTCTATTCTATATATTTTTTTCTTACCCTCCGATAATTATCTGATTAAAAAATTTTCTCAAAACTTAATTCTGCTTTTCCTATGAAATCTTTATGCTGATTCACGCAACCTTAAATTGTCTAAGTTTCTTGTGATACTTTCGAGAACAGTATTTTTATTTTCTGCGCTTTGTTCTAATTTTTCTTCGGAAAATAACACTCGTTTTACTAAATCTACTTGTTCTTTATTGTATTTCTTTCGAATCAACACTACTCTGCTAGGGTTCTTCTTTATTCCTAAACTTTTAGTCTCATCAATTTCTAATTTCCCATACATTTGTAACTATGTTCTAACCTAACTGATTAATAGAATTTTTTTTTTAAAATGACTTTATTTAAACTTGTATTTTAGTACCCGTAACTAATTGGGAATTTTAATTTTTTTTGATTTAAACAAAGTTTTTAGAAATTTTTAATCCTCTCACTTGCCCAAGTGGCTACACACTTCCGGCAAGGTTAAGTCAAGGAATTGGGCGCGGTTTATTAAAGAAACCAGAGCTTGCCGTCGCAAGGGTAGTTACTGTTCCCTGTGTTCAACTTTAGTGAACATAAAAAAAAATCTCTTTTACCGCACTTTTTAAATTTGATATATTTTTCTCCTGTGAAGAAACAGATAGACAATTTTATATAAAATAGACAATCAATGCATTTCAATATGTATATATCTAAATTTCTCATAAAATATATTAATCTTTTAGTATTAATGTGTATAGTGTAACCCTGTATGTAAAAATTTAACTTTGTATATGTCTTTAGAGAAAAAAAAATTTTTTTAATTGTTAATTAAATTTTTTTTTTACTTTTTCTATCTTCTCCTTCCCCCAAAGAATAAAGAGAAAGAATCCCACCGCTGCCACCAGTTTGTTAAAGTAGGATTTAGAAATTTGATTTTAATTTTTAAAACTTTAACTTACGTGTCCTTCGGACAAAAGAAATTGTAAAGGTAGTGGATCCCCCTCTACTTAGTTATTGTTTCAACTAAGAGGTTGAGAACCCTACTCTTGTGTGAAATGAGAAGATAGGAAAATTGTTAGGATGTTTGAATTAAACCACAAAATGAAGATAATAACAATTAAATGTATATATTTTACCCAAAGTCCCTATTACAGATAAATCTAATTTTATGTGTAAGAAGAGTAAGTGTATCTGTGTGAATGGAATATTAGTGTGTGTTGTGACACGTAAGATCTTTACTCACTACTCGGTGATTCTTCCTTGGTAATACGAATCCAATGAATGTGTCTTGTCTTTACACCTGCTTCACGATGTTTTTCCGAAAAATTCAGGAAATACCAAATCTAGGTTCACTAGACTGATATTTCGCTGGGAACTTTAATATTCTTTTTAAGTTGCACAAAGTTTAAGATCTGAACCTCGTAAATAAAGGTTGTCTTCTAATATATATTTGAAATTAATGTTATTTATTCTTTAGTAGCTTTACTTTATCTTATTCTTTATGATATAAGAGACTTTTACTTTACTTTGATCACTTTAATTCTTTTATATTTCTTTCACAAATTCCTTTATTTTTATTCCACAAATTTTATATTCAATATCATTTATATTATTTTCAATATTTTCTTTTATTTCCTTTTTTTTTCTTTTTAATTATATCACTTTATTTTATTCTCTATATTTCAATTATATATTTTTTAAATTCAACCTTTTTTTATTTTTATTTATTTATGTTTTTCTCAATTAAATTCACTTTTCTTAACAAACTTCTTATTAATTTCTTTAAACTTCTGAGAAATATTTCAACTTTGAACTCGGCTAACTTGCCGGACTTAGAAAATGCCTGGCCCAAACTGCCGGCTACAACTACAGGTGACTACGACCTGGACTAAACTGCCCAGATTTCCCAGTGTCAATCAATTTTATTGAAAGACGATTTAGTGGGGGAAATCATAAATTAAGTTCATTGCACTTGACTGTTGTCAAGCCATTTTCCGCAATCTTGCAGATTTCGGCAGTGGTGTGATCCGAGTTCAGTGACTTGGATGCACCACTCCTTATATTGGGCAATTTATTTCAACAATTTCTCAAATAGGTCAATAAGCTGTTTGTCAATGAAGAGGAATTTGTTGAGAAATACTGTACTATATTTCTTAGGTTTTTTAACCCCAAGAATTGCGAAATTTAAAGGAATGTTAAATTTAATTGAATTACTTATTTTTTTAGAATTAGGTTTTTTTGATTAATAGAAATGCATTGGATTAGAATATCAAAACGAAGAATTTCTCTTTTGTGAGATTGCAAATATTACAAAGGGTTGTTTTGTGTAAGTGTTTTCTATGATGTTTAACAAAAATCTTGTGTTTTCTGTTCAATTGTTGCGAATGATTTTAATTTAACTATGATTAAAAGATATTTGACAATATAATAAGTTACGGAGTTCGGCCGTAACACTACAAATTCAATTATGTTCAAAAGTAATAAAATTCATCCTAGAAATTCAATTATTTTTAATTTTTTTTAAATTTCTCGTCAAAATTTTAATTATCCTTATAAATAATAAAATTCATCCTGAAAATTTATTTATTTTTAAAAGATATGTTAAAATTCTTTGCAAAATTCAATTATCTTTAAAAATAGGCCAGTCGGTGAGTGAAAAACTGCCAAAAAATGCAAACAGCAAAGTCTCAACGGTTTCTGGTAGTTTGGGGGCTCCTTATAAGAGCCCCACAGTTTGCTCTCGATTTCCGGGTGCGAAAAACAGTGTAAATAATCGCCAAAGTTTGTAAATCATGGTTTTTCGATGCTCGTTGCTTTCGGTTAAGTTTTAGGGGAAAAAGTTGTTATTGAAAGTTGTAGAGCTTGGAAATACCTTTCAAATGATGGGTCATATGTTAAAAAAGGTTAATTAGTTTAGTTGCAAATGAATTTAAACCATTAAAAATAGCACTTCTTTAATTGTTTAATAACTTTGTTAATAATTATCGAATTTGTTCATAACTTACTAGGAAAGTTTTCCTTGCGTAGCTGAATAAATCCCAAAAAAATTAACTAGATCGGAGAAATAGTTTATGCATAATTCCATTTGTTAACTAAAAACATGTAATTTTTCAACGGAATTTCCCCACTTTTGGTACATCGAAATTCGATTTTTTTTTTGGAAAGTACACTTAAGAAGTCAAACTTTCATCCTATTTAAATGGCCAATTGATTTTTTTATCTAAGTGCATAATAAAAAGGGTTAAAAAAGAGTGTGTTTTTTTGTCATAAACAAATGGAATTACTTAGCCAATTTTCACATTATCAATTAGCTATAAACGGCATATAATTCCATTTGTTTCCACAAAACTTTTCTAAAAAATAATCCGACTTAACTTGAAGGGGGGGGGGGGAGTTAACTTTTTTAAAAAAAAATCCTGAGAAGTTAATTATTAATATTTTTTATTGAAATTCGCACGACTTTTGGTTCAAAACATAGTAGTAGAGCTACACGGGTTCTGGCCCAGTTACCGACCGTCGGTAAGGTAGATTTCCTAATAGCTCACTTTCAGGTGGGTTAGAAGGGGTGTTCTACTTTACCGACCGAGTTTTTAGTACCGGCCGCCACCGCTAGATGGCGCCACCACTCAATTTAAACCCCCTTAGAGGGGTAATAAAATTTTTATTTTTGAATTTTCAAGTGGGTTAGAAGGGATGTTCTGTTTTACCGACATCTGTGTTCTGGCTGCCACCGAGAGATGGCGCCACATGTAAATTCCAACCACTTGGCGGGAAATTTAAATTTTTTATTTTTAAACTTTCAAGTGGGTTACAAGGGATGTTCTACTTTACCAACATCTGAGTTCCGGCTGCCACCGAGAGATGGCGCCACTGCATAATTCAAACCCCTTGGTGGGAAATTTATTTTTTTTTTATTTTTAAACTTTCAAGTGGGTTAGCATAAGTGCTCTACTTTTACCGACTGAGTTTTAGCTTCTGCTGCCACCGCTAGATGGCGTCAATTTTTACACAATTTAAACCCCCTTGGTGAGATATTTAAATTTTTATTTAATAATTTCAAGTCTTTTGGTGTGGAATGATTTCAAATTTCACACCACAAAGTGATTTCAAATCCTTGGCGGGATATTTAAATTTTTGTTTAATAATTTCAAGTTTATTAGTGTGGAATCATTTCAAATTTCACACCACAATTACCAACAATAATTTTACAATAGATGTTAAAATTGTATAGAATTATTATTGACTGAGTTTAAGTTTTAAATGTTCAATATTTATAATTTTTGTATATGTATATTCATAGATTTTCAATGATCTAACTTATATGGATTCACCCTTATTTTTATGATACATACAATTACCGAATTTTCATTATATTACGGAGCATGAAAATTAGAAGTCCACAAGAGCCAATCAGAAAAATATAGGAAATAAGGAAATGAATCGTATTGGTTGACATAATTAAATATTTCTAATTTGGTGGAAAAACTAAAGTTGGTAGTAATGATGCCATGTGCTCACAATACTTTTATTCTTTTTCACAAACCTGTTGAACTGGAAGGACGTTTTCCAACTTCCAAGAAAATGGTAAGTTCAATAAATTTTTGAATAGTGTTAAAATCATAATTCATTTATAAATTAAAAAAAAATATTACTTTAGTAATTATTTACGTTACATTTCACTAACATGCTTGTCTGTATTTATTTAGAGTTTTCATCCGAATGGGAGGTACTGTGGGCAATGCTGCTTCTGTCGCTTTTTCCATTTCATAAACCAATTTGTAAGTATTTTTCTAAAAAAATTGTCAAAAACATTTAATTGATGTTAATTATTTTATATTAATAAAATAAATTTTTTTATTTAATAATGTAATTATATTAAAAACTTAACCTAACCTCACTTCACCTAATGGAGCTGAAACTGGCATCCAGTTATTAGTAATATTAATTAATTTAATTTGCAAATTAAATTTAACTGATTTAATATTAATTATTTCAGGTTCTACCATCTCCAGAACAAATATGGAAACGACAGTTGCAACAAATGCAGGCTCCACAGTTGCAGGCTCAACATATGCTATCAATGCAGGCTCAACAGTTGCAATTGCGACCACTTCAGCAAATACAACCGCGACCAGTGTTGCAAGCACAACCACGAAAACCACGTCAACCACGTCAACCAAAACCCAAGTTGCCAGCAGAAGTCGTTCAAGCAAATAAGGTATAAATATATATATATATATTTAAAATTATATTTGAATTAAAAATGTTTATTTTCAAATAATAATAATTATTATCAAAATTGTATCAATATTTATGTCAATAATCTAATTTTGAATTTTTTTTTAAAACAATTTTGTGAGGGGTTTGATGTATTTTTTATTTCAACAATTTACAATTCTTTAATTTTAGCTTCTTTTACTTCTTTTGAAATTATAATCGAAATTGTATCAATATTTATGTCAATAATCTAATTTTGGATTTTTTAAAAACAATTTTGTGAGGTGTTTGGTGTATTTTTTATTTCAACAATTCACAATTCTTTAATTTTAGCTTCTTTTACTTCTTTTGAAATTATAATCAAAATTGTATCAATATTTAGGTCAATAATCTAATTTTGGATTTTTTAAAACAATTTTGTGAGGTGTTTGGTGTATTTCTTATTTCAACAATTTACAATTCTTGAATTTTAGCTTCTTTTACTTCTTTTGAAATTATTATCAAAATTGTTTTAATATTTAGGTCAATAATCTAATTTTAAAATTATTAACGAATTTTGTTAGTTGTGTGTAGTTATTTTTATTTGAACAATTTCTAATTCTTCAATTTTAGCTTCTTTTACTTCTTTGAAATTATTTTATTTGTCTAATCTTTGAAATAATTATAATAAAATTTTCAACAAATTTTTAATTATTGTTTTACATTCTGCAGGAAAACGAAAATAGCAGTCTGAAGCATAAAACTAGGTGGGAGCCTGTTGAGAAATACACCCCGAAAATAGTAAATAAAATTGATGACTATATACCAACTCCAAAGGAGGTTCTTCTAAGCATGCAATCTCAACAGTCACCACAGCTGCCTTCTGCGCAGTTAGCTGAAAGCATCAGTACAAATCAACTAGTATATTTTTTTTTCTTTATTCTCTCTTGCAGGTCTTCTCTCTTACAGTTCTTTATTCTCCCGATTCTCTCTTACATGACTTTTTTCTCTATCTTTCTCTCTTACAGTTCTTTATTCTCCCGATTCTCTTTTGCAGGACTTTTTTCTCTATCTTTCTCTCTTACAGTTCCTTATTCTCTCTTTCTCTCTTACAAGACTTTTTTCTCTATCTTTCTCTCTTACAGTTCCTTATTCTCTCTTTCTCTCTTACAAGACTTTTTTCTCTATCTTTCTCTCTTACAGTTCCTTATTCTCTCTTTCTCTCTTACAAGACTTTTTTCTCTCTCTGCCCCTCTTAAATGCATTTTTTTCTATCTCTCTTGCAGATCTTTTTTTTTTTTCTCTTACAGGTATTTTTTTTCTTTAGTCTCTCTCACAGGTCTTCTCTCTTACAGTTCTTTATTCTCCCGATTCTCTCTTACATGACTTTTTTCTCTATCTTTCTCTCTTACAGTTCTTTATTCCCCGATTCTCTCTTACAGGACTTTTAACTCTATCTTTCTCTCTTACAGTTCCTTATTCTCTCTTTCTCTCTTACAGGTCTTTTTTCTCTTTCTTTTACAGTTTTTTTCTTTCTCTCTTACAGCCATCTGTCTTATAGGTCTCTCTCTCTCTCTCTCTCTCTCTCTCTCTCTCTCTCTCTCTCTCTCTCTCTCTCTCTCTCTCTCTCCTTTAGCTCAATACTTTTTTCAGTTCTCTCTTTCAGATTTTCAACAATTATTTAATTTTTATTTTCTAGTAATTTCTTTTAATTCAATTTATCATATTTCCCTTTTATTTGATTTTTCTTTCTAGTTATTTCTCGTTTAGTTCAGTTTTAATTTTTTCTTTTTAGGAATTATTTTTATTTTTTTTTCTTTCAGTTTTTATTTTTCTTTTTAGTTATTTATTCTAATTCTATTTTTCTCTTTTTCTTTCAGTTTTTATTCTTCTTTTTTAGTTATTTCTTTTATTTCAGTTTGACTTTCTTCTTCTACATTATCTCTCGTTTTTTCAGATCATTCTTTTATAACGTTTCTTTCTTCCTTTTATTCAAATATTGTATTTGTTTCTCTTTCCCATCTTATTCTGTTTTTTTTTAATTTGTCGTATTATTATTATTATTTTACTTTTTATTTATTTAATAAGTTAAATTTGTTTTATAGTAAACATTTTCTGTTTGTAGAAATAATATTTGATAAAATGGATCACATCAATCCTCTTTTAAATTGTCGAGAGGGTCTGGAACCAGATGATGATGATGATGATGATGACAATGATTTTATTATTATTAATGAATATGTGAATTATTATGAAAATGGTGATGATGATGATGCCAATGATGGTGGTGGTGATGATGATGACGATGATGATACTTCCGCTGTCATTATTTATGATGAGTTCGCTCATAATGATTATGAGGAAGACGGCGATGACAATGAAGATGACGATAATGACGGATACGACAGTGCGGGGGAGACAATCATCATAAGCGATGATGATGATGATGATGATGATGATGATGATGATGATGATGATGATGATGATGATGATGATGACGTTCTGATAATAGATATCGATCCTAAGGAAGTTAGTTAGGAATTTTTATTTTATTTTAACTTTATCAAATATTATTCTAATTTAAATTAACTTTCAAAATATCTTTAATTTTTAGATGTCGGAGATTCTAGAAGATAATTCGTAGCCTTAAAACTATCAAGTTTAATTTTTAAATAAAAAGGTTTTTCATCAATTTACGTATTTATTTTTATTTCCATTAATTTTAACGCGCATAACTTGAGCGTATATTATAGTGGGGGTAATTCTGCGTGCGCATTCAAGAGTGTGGTGGGGTTGAAGAAAAAAGTGGGGTTCAGGTTATATAAGGCGAGTTTCAAAGCTGTTAGATCATTCTTATTTCAGGATCTAGAATTAGCAGTAAGTGTAATAAGTTAACCATTTTATAATTTCTTTTCAGCTCCTTTCTACCTTTCAATTTCAGGTTTATTTCAAAGATTTTAGCTTTATTTCCAGGTTTTTTTGTTTATACTTCAGGTTTATTTCAAAGTTTTTTTTTTAACTTTATTTCCAGGTTTTTTTTTTGTTTCCATTTCAGGTTTATTTCTAAGATTTTTATATTACTTACAGGTTTTCTGTTTACATTTCAGGTTTAGTTCTAAGTTTTTTCAGTTTCATTTAGTTTTTTTTTTATTATAAGATTTCTTTTCAGCTTTATCTTTTAAGTTTGCATTTCAGGTTTATTTACAGGTTGCTTTGGTTGTTATAAGTTTTTTTAAAGGCTTTTTATTGTTTGCTCTAATTTTTTTAGGTTGTTTTAAAATTTTATTTTGCTAAATTTCTTTTTTTTTCAGATAAATTTTCTAAGTTCTTTTTTCAGCATTATGTTATGTTTTGAATTATATTTATATTACAGGTTTATTTCAATTACAGTTCTTTGTTTCTCTTCTTTTGTTTAAGGTTTTCTTCTAGTTTCAAACATATTAAAAATGGATCTAGAAAAAGTTAACTCCGTTGGACGTTTTGAAGGTTACCTGCCGACGAAACCGCTCGCGGAATTGATGAAAGATGGACTGTACTACGTCTTAAAAATGAAGAAGGTCCAGACCAAATATGGACCTAGGATCATAGTTGAGATTGATGCTAATTTCGTCACATACTTACCAACAAGATTCATCAAGCTCTTTGAGGATGAACCCACCACCTTGGACATGATGAAAGAAGCTGCGATATCGAAGAAACTTCAAATGAAGTATCTTGGAGGACCATATAATGTTGTTGAATTTAAATTGTTACAATAAATTGTAAAAAGAAAATGTATATATATTTAAAAAAATTTTGATAAAATAAACACACAAAGTTTTACCTATAAATTGGTTTTAAATTTACTTTCCTCCTTCTCTTAGTATAAGTTATTTTTCAGAATTAGAATAAGTTTTATTTTCAGAAATTATAAAAGAATTTAAATTAAATTTTAAAGGATAGGTTGTTTTTGAAATTAAGAAGCATTGTTTTAAATTCATAACATTTATTTTTGATAACTTAATACTTAAATTTTACAAAAAAGATTCACAATTTTCATAAAAAGATTTTAAAGTAGAGTCAGTTTCATCAATTCCATTAGAAATAGCACTTATATATTGGTTTGGAGGATCCAAAAACCAATCGCGTAGAATTTTAACATTTTTTACAGCACAATTTTCACTACAAAAAGTATGATGCGTACACGTCGTTAATAAATCAGACTTAATTTTTTTCAACGATGGACAATTAAAATCTTCCAAGTTTTGTACGTTGAGTAAATATTTTTCTAGCCAATTCTTTTTTTCTAAACCTTTAACGTAAATTACACTTGCACTTCGAAGTATATCTTGTAGAATTGGTCGAAGTTCATCGTATGAGACGTCTCCAGCTGTCCAATGGATTCCATGGTAATTATGTGTTAGCCAAAGATTTTCACTTTTGTAGCGTCCTGCCAGTGAATTCCAAGGACAAGGAGGTTCAAAAAGATAAACGAGAGGCTGTGCATCTGGTTGAAGAGGAAGTATCGCCAACTCTTTAAAGACAAACTCGTTGTTGGCTCTTTTAAAACCTTGAACGTCTACGATAAACTCCATTTTTGAAGCAGAAATGAATTTCTAGCCGAGAGCAGCTGCTTTTATAGTAATCACCTCCCACCACTACCACATTATCCCCACTCCTTTACAATAGTTTCTTTACAACGCCGCTGATTGGCTTATATTGTATGACGCGGTCATGGATGATTAGGCAATAGGCGGTGGTCTCGGCTGGCATGTTGATTCCTGCTTCAAATTCTAACCTCACATCAACTGATGCTTGTTTTAAAAACTCGTTTTGTTTAGAACAATCAATAACAATTAGAGGAAATAGACTTTTAAAAATATCCTTTGTTAAAATAGGTTTTGAATCTTTACCATAATAGGATGATTGAAAATTAGCGTACATTTCATAAAGTAGAGAGTACTGATTTTGATCAAAGTTTAAATTTAAATTTCCGTAAGGATAATATTGTGAATTTAAAAAGAGTTTAACATTTATAATATTACAATGGTCAAAATGACAGGCATATTTTTTTTGTTTATCTTTCCTCGCTGTTTGAAATCCAACAATAACATAACGAGGTTTCTCTAATTGCGTTGATGTTTTAATTTGCCACAAAACTTTTGAACTTGTAGGAATTAAAGGATACTCATACATTTTCCACGACCTAAAACTTATTGAAATTAATGGATCCTTTTCAATATATTTTAACAATTTAACTTTGTTATTGTCAGAAGGTAAAACGTATGGAACCATCCATTCAAGTTTATTGATGGAAATTTTAAATTCCTCATCCCCTCCTTGTCCTGTTTGAATTACGGCATTCACGTCAGAACGTGCTCTTGTTAAAATAAGTTCATGTTTAGCGTTCATAATGATTTTTTTATAATCTTCAGCAAAACCAAAAATCATGCTGAGTGGTATTGTGACATCAAAATATCCATTTTCCAATACAAGTCTTGCATCAGCTGCAATTTTTGAATATCCAGCATTTTCAATAAAATTTAGCTGATTTGATGTTTGCGAGGTGTAATTTTTCATGATTGTAGTATGTCCAACGTATTTGCAGCGATCAATTTCAATACCATTTAGTTCATAGCGAATTTCATCAAACAAAAAGCATACAGCATTATTACTTAAATGTACGTTTTGTGTAAGAGTAATTCCATCATTTTTAGTTAATCTACCAAAAATGTGTAATGAACTTTTACTAGGTAAAATGCACAAGTCTTGATGTTGTACTGCGATTCGAATTTCATCGCTATTGTTAAAAGATGAAGATGCGTATGGTTGATGAGCATGAATTTCATAATGAGCTATTGACTCATCGAAATTCACTGCTGCTGGAATATTGAGAAGTTCGTCCATTTTTATTGCAACAGCAACCAAAAAATATGTAGATTAATTGTCTTGTTGTCTTATTTTCTTTCCTTGAACTTTTAGACCTAGTTCTTGCAGAAAGAGGCGATTCTGAGGTGTTAACAGCTTGTGAGATAAATTTAGACTGATTGGATTCTTGCATGTTGTCTGACTTTTATAGTTTCCACCAACAACAGCTCTTTGATTATAAACGATTCCCATTACAAAGACTTTATATGCAATCGAATTGTTATAGTTTCTCCTCTAAAATTGATTAAATCACCGTCCTGATCGACAATTCGCAGTTGTATATTATGTATTGTCTTGGTGGCAATCGGAAGGTAAATGACGTGTGCAGGCACTTCCACAATCTTATATCCTGGTGGAACGCTAAGGAAGAATTCATGTATAGTGTGAACTTTTTGGTTATTTATATACGCTCCAGATGTGATATTACACTCAATTCTAACTGAATTAACCTTTAAAATGGCTACAGGTAAATCAGAAATATGTGCTCTATGAGATGATAGTTTCTGTGATGTAAATCCCAACAACTTACCAATCGAATCTTTAGGTTTAAAATCAATTGGTAAATTAGATTCAACAATACTGCGTAATGTATTATTATTAGGTTTTATACTAATAACAGTTCCAGTTTTTACAGAATTTTGTAAATATGATTCAATATCTTTAATTTCATAACTTCCAGTTGGAATATCAATTACTTGATTTCCAACGTAAAACTTGTTATTTCCTTTATCAATATTAGGAATTGAATTAAAAGTCAATAGTTCGACAAGACCAAGTACATAACTTTTATTTGAATTTAGTTCTATTGGAGGGAAATATTCAGCTCCCAGAACTGAAGAATTTCCTGTTAACGTTAAAGTAAACGAATCACTCATGTTGCTGTCAGATTTTATACTGAAAGCTTACAGGTGTTACATAGTCTTATAAAGGTTAAAACAACTCTTAATATTTAGTTGATTAAACAAAAATTTGAGACACAAGTGTCCACATACAAATGTATCATAATTTTGATATATTTTATGATTATATTTTATTAAGCTACCATCACCCAAGTAAATGACAAGATCTGTTGGTGGAGCAAGGTTGCCAAAACTATCAAAATACATTATTTTGTTTTTGAATTTTTTATATGCTACCCAATGTGTTCCAGCACCTTCTTTATTATCAAGATTAATTATTCCTGATTCATACTTGTAAGGACCACTTACAGGTAGTTCATTTCGCATAAAAATACCACGAAAATGCGGTATTTTGACAGCTTTGGCATGCTTCCACAGATCAAAGTCAGTTAATGGACGGTGAGGTAGCTTCAAAACAAGTTTTTTGTTTTCCTTCTTGTTGTTCTCTTTTTTCTTAATGCTCGTTTCTTCTTCTTTCTTGATGCTCGTTTTTTAATTCCTTTTCCTTGAATGTAGGGTTTCAAGTGGAGACCAAGTCCTTGTCGATAAGGTTTAAGGTGTAATCCCTTTCCAAGTGATATGGCTTCCATGGATCTATTGTGACGTTGAGCTTCTGCAAGCTGTTCACTAGCTGTTTTAGCCTTATTAACAGCCCTTGCTATTCCTGAAGCTCCTCCAGCAAGAGCTCCTAAAGCACTAAGTCCAGCAAAAATTGGAACTAGCGGTAAAATTCCACCTACTTTAGTAGGTACAGGAAGAATTCTAGGTGATAAAATTTTGGATTTACCACCAACATTTTTTATTGCTTTTCGTGCACC